GCGGTTGACGTTGAATACGTTTTATTTCGCGTTCGCCTCCGCGACCCGAGGGGGTAAGCAGCCATGTCGAGTAACTGACTTTCAGATTGAGACATTTTCCATTTACTGCTTTTAAAATTCAAAAATGATCGACGATTGTCTGACCATTATCCATTCTAGAACAAGGTCAGCAAGGATCCTGTATCTCTCAGTTATAGACCACCTGTAGGAAAGACTATGTTTCATGTATTTTGCCATATTTAAATGACGAGGCTCCTTGGTTCGTGGGTTGAATTCGAAGGCATGATGAGTATAATTTTGTCAGATGTAACACAACGCGTTTGTTTTAAGATAGGGCACAGAGAAAAACTGAAAACTCTCTAGCTTAGATATTGGAACGCTAAAGACGCAGCGGCAGCAACTAAATTAAGTTCATGGTGTAGTCTGTTCCTGTCTAACGTTTGATTACTGATTTATCCTGAAATTACGGCTATCATTATCTTCTGGTTTCTCCGATTTTCCATTTTTTGAAATGCCTTGCCGGATTACCACTAGATGGTATAATTGCTACGGATTCCGTGCTTTGCAACTGCTGAACTTCATAGTATGCTCTACGAAGGTAAGCAATATTTTCCTCATCTTGTCTCTGAATTTTCGTCCAGTCTCCAAGATATCGATGCCGCCATAAGTACAGTTGAAGTAATGCACCACTTTTTAGACATCTTTATAGAAGCTGTTTCTTCTTGTACGAATGATACCCTAGCATCCACGGAGAACATCATATCTTTCCATCGCTGCATCAAGTTTCCTTTCGCCAAGAATCACTATTAAAGGGCGGTCAGCAGTATTTATTGGGGATAAGTGGTCGGAATGTAATTAGTTCTTTTCGGCTTCCGGATCTTCTGTTTAGCTTCCTGGAACTGCTTGAGAATAAAATGTTTTGGGTAGTTGTTTTCTCTATACTCATTGGACAACTGGTTATTCAGGTATTGTTAGACCGCCAGGCTGAAGCAAATACGCACATTTCCTAGGTGCTGGGTTTGTACCAGTCCAGCTTTCATAGATGGCGGTATGTGCGATCAATAGTTAATATATCTTCCGCTGTGGGTAGACTCGTTGTAGACGACTATTCTTAGTGTACCTATTTTCCTCATACACTATGACGTCCAGAAATGAAAACTTTCGGTTTTCTTTCAGATAGTTGGTGAACTGTATCTTCGCATGAATGTTGCTTGGACACTTGGAAGTCGACGACTTGATTCCGTCTGTATTGTCACAAGATCCTGGCATTGCCCTGCATCTGCACGACGCCTCCGGTCTAGGCTTCCGACCGGTTTTCACAGTCTAAGCAGCGCCTTCGATTATGGGAATGCGTTGAACGATGGACTGCGAAGGAGGTTTGTGGCAGGTTTCAATCATTCTCAATTTGAGGTTTGAGGTTAGCAGGTCAACGATGGCCCTACGACAAGAACTAACTGACTCTCGCCTCCTTTCAAAATATGTTTGACTTTACGGTGATGATGAATCGTGCGAAAAGCAAAGCAGCTGAAGAGAAGTTAGATGCTGTAGGGAAGATTTCCCCAAATCACCCAACGACCAGGTCGAATGACTTTAAGCGAAGCAGAAATAGGAGGTGTGCTTGATTCATGGGTGACTGCATGCAGCGAAAACACAGTGCCGAGTCAATGACGCGACTTGTGACACGTGTGGTAAAAAAGGGACACTTCGAGGCAGCATTTCATTCACGACCGAACGACAACTACATGAGCACAGCTGTGAAGCGGGTGGAAGAAATTGCCTTTGAACTCCAGAAACGGT